AACAAAGCAAAGAACAAGAGCCTATCAATTGTCACAATAAATGCCTTTGACAAAATCTAACACCTCGTCCTGATTAAAAAACTCAACAAAATAGGAATAGAAGCAAATTTCCTCAACATAGTAAAAATAATATATGCAAAAAAAGTATATATGCAAAACCAATGGAGAAAAACTAAAGGCATTCCCCTTGCTAATAGGGACCAGGCAAGGATGCCCATTATCTCCACTCCTTTTCAGTATTGTATTGTAAGTACTTGCTAGGGCAGTACAGCAAGAGATGAAAATAAAAGGCATCCAAATCTGCAAAGAGATAGTAAAATTGTTGCTGTGTGCAGATGATATGATAGTGTACACAGAAAACCTCAAGAACTTCATAAAAAACCTATTGGAGTTAATAGAACAATTTAGTGGAGTGGCTGGATACAAGATCAATATACAAAAATTAGTGGAATTCCTCTACAGTAACAAAAAAAACACAGAGAAAGAAATATAATTTACAATAGCCAACTACAAACAGGGACACTTAGGAATAAACTTAACTACAAAACACTATTACAAGAAACAATAAGAGATCCAAATAAATAAAAAGTGTTCCCTGTTCATGAATAGGAAGATTCAGTATTGGTAAAATGATAATCTTACCAAAAGCAATCTATATGTCTGATGCAATCCTAACACAGATACCAAATTAACTTTTCAAAGAGACTGAGAAGACAATTGAGAAGTTTGTTGGATAGAAAAGAGATCTTAAAAAAGCAAAGCACTTCGGAAAAATAAAAATTAACTGGGAAGCCTAGCACTCACTGATATCAAAACCCATTACACAGCTGTAATAACCAGAACAGTATGGTACTGGTACAATAACAGACACATAAACCAATGTAACAGAATCAAGAAACCAGAAATTTACCCACCTACCTAGTGTCAACTGGTATTCGGAAAGGAAACATAATCTACCAATTGAGGAAATGACAACCTTGTCAACAAATGATGCTGACAAAACTGGACTTCCACCTTCAGAAAGCTGAAACAAGATGCACACCTCAGACCACACACAAAAATAAACTCAAGGTGAAACAGAGACATAGGGGTAAAGCGCCAAACCTTAAAGATAATCAGGGACAAAATGAGACCAAACTATAGTATAAATAGGCTGGCAAATATGCTAGGACGAGAGTAGAGACTAATTGTTTTTGGTGATGGAAAACGGGATAGCAAATGGGGATGTAGCAAGCACAACACCACCACAACAAAAATAAGCATTTGAGCATGTGTGGCTGTGTATGCAAACTGGTATATCAGTAGATACAAATGTACACATATATGAGAACAGAAGTATCTATAGGTATATATAAATACAAAATTGTGGGTGTAGGTACCTAAGTTCATTGACAATACAAGTAAAGATATTTCCCAGACATAGTTAAATACTTTCCAATATTGTTTTCCTGAGTTTGAAAGCTTAGGATCATGGGGCAACTAGTTCACAAAAATCATCAGATGCATCTCAGAGTGAGCTGTGTTTGGGTTCTTAAAAAGCTGGAAGTAGCCATGTTGTGTATGGCTGAGTTGGATCCAACTCATGGCTGATTAGGCCAATAGAGTTTCCCAAGATTCAGATAGGGATCTCTATTTGCATTAAAAGAAAATGGCAAGTAGGTCACACAAATGAAGTGAAGGGAAAAAAAGTCTGCAACAGCTACAACCTCATCTACCTGAGACTAGAGGACCTGTTACCACCATTGACTGTTCTGACCAGAGTCATAGTAGTTGATTCTGGATGTAACAGGAGACAACTATGAAGAACTCAAGTTCTTACTAAAATAAAGAAATAAATTTAAAAGCCAGACAATCTAGAAAGGCAGACTGTTACCTAGAGATACTCTTTAGATGTAGAATGGAGTCAATGCTCTTGCTAGACCATCTTTTGTTACAATAGCAGAGTGGCACACAAAAGAAAGAATATTTACCACTCATAAGTTCAGACCATGAACTACTCATATGCAAATTCAAGCTGAAGCTGAGGAAAATTAAACCAAATCCAAGGCAACCAAAATATGACTTTGAGTCTATCCCACCTGAATTTCAG